ATCAATGCGCGGGCTGTTGCGCTTAAAATAAAAAAATAAAATAAAAAGATAATAGGCGTGTTTCGACCCGCACTAATATACAAACATACTTTTGTGCAGAGCTGTTATGATGTGACGCCGGCCTGGTGGATAATTAATTCAATGGTGTGTCTTTGAAATTGCTGCTTCACTTTTTCCCCGGAAGAATCTGGAACACTCCGTATGCAGAACACTGCCCTTTGCAAAATATAAGTTGCGTTCCAGATGCTTCACGATTTGCAGGTTTTTACAGGAAGCCGTTCTAGGTGACCACCTCCCATAAGCTTTATTAATGGAGAAAACAGCTGTTCCTGCAAATCGTAAAGCATCTGGAACGGCACTATAATAAAACACACACATGCACAACTTTCGTTTCAAATTACAAATACTTTATATAAATGTCGCTCTTAATATTTTCCGTTGAACCGCCTGTGTGTTTAGCTACGCTTCGAATGAACGTCTTTTACAATGTCATCTTACATTCTACCCATGAACCATGATTCAATAATACAAGGTTCGATAAACTGACAGTTGTCTCTCTCGCACCGCTCCCTTAGCAGTGGCACAGTGTTGCTTCTTTGCAAATTTACATGGAAACAGTGTAGCTTTGGTGTGAAATAGAAGTATAAGATTTTGCGCAATATGTTTATATGTATATGCATATGAAGCATATTTAACTGATGAAAACATAAACTGTTTTTAAATTGGATGTTTACATCAATCTCATAGTAGTCTTACTTTAATTTTGAGTCATTTTGCAGTTTTTATACAGCTAAAGGTGTTCTTACACGATATGTATTTGCATGTGTACATGCCACTTTTTACATATGGAAATGTCAACATATCGTGTAAAGGCAAATTAGATTTGTTTCTGTACAAAGCAGATACACGTACATACGAAATAGAAATGTTTCTATTTTCATCTGACACACAGATAGAATCATCTGAGTTTAGTTTATTTCGTTTTCAAATAAAGTATTTTTAAATAGTTAAATAAAGACTGTGAATTTGACAGACATACACAATTATATATGTATTGAAAAAGTCACATTTACAGATGCAAATACATACCGTGTAAGAACACCTTAAATAGCACATAACTTACGTAATTCACGTAGATATATCAATATTACGTTCAACATTTCGTTTAAAATACCAGATTTCCTGCAAATACATTAGAATTTACAAAAGGAGTTTCACTACTAATTGCCTACTTTGCGTACTGTTCTACTACCATTTTCGCACCAAGATATTTCATTCTTCCCCTTTCTCCGTCCTTCGTAAATGCAACCTTTTGTAAGGGAGTGTCAAACCGCAGCTGTCAATAATTATCTAACCTTGTATTATTGAATCATGGGTAAAACCCAAGAATGATAGAATACAAATGGCGCCAATCAGAGAGGATTTTCGAAAACAATTTTTGTGTGGCGTCACACTGGTGCATTTGCGAGAGAGAAATACCAAAACGCGAGCAGGAATGGAAGAAAAAATGTTGCAAGCAAAACGTAA